TACATAATAATAAACATAATATATAGATATAGATATATAATATCTCATAATATATAATATATCCTTTTTATCATGTGTGTGTGTCTTTGTATTCTGGGTGTATGTTTGTATGTGTGTGTATTTGTATGTGTTTAAGAGTGTGTGGGTGTGTCTTTGTATGAGTGTGTTTTATGTGTGTCTATGTGTGTGTGTGTGTGTGTGTGTGTTTGTATGAGTGTTTGTGTACCTGTGAGTGTGTATGTATGTATGGGTATGTGTGTGTTTGTATGTGTGTGTTTGTATGTATGTGTTGTGTTTGTATGTGTGTATGTGTATGTGTGTCTGAGTGTAAAATGTGCGTGTGTGTGAGAGTGTGCATGTGAGTGTGTGTATGTGTATGTTTGGGTGTGTGTGTATGTAAGTGTGTGTGGGGGGGTGAGTGTGCATGTGTGTGTAAATTGTGGTGTGGGTGTGTAAAAATGAAAGAGAAAGAGAGAGAGAGAGGGGAGAGAGAGAGAGAGAGAGAGAGAGAGAGAGAGAGAGAGAGAGAGAGCATTTTTTCAACAAAAAAGATGGCAGCGAGCGGTGCACGAATTATTTCTTTTAAGCATTTTAACCCCCCCTCTCCCAAAGCACCCAAGTTAAAATGCTATTTATTAGAAAACTCACAATAAAATGGTGTTTCTTCTTCTCTCTATTTCTATGTCCGTCTCTTCTTCTCTCTATTTCTATGCCCGTCTCTCTGTCAATATCTCTGTATCTCTCTCTGTATCTATCTCTCTCTCTCTCTCTCTCTCTCTCTCTCTCTCTATCTATCTGTCTATCTATCTATCTATCTATCTATCTATCTATCTATCTATCTATCTATCTATCTCTCTATCTATCTATCTATCTATCTATGTGACATTTTTGTAAGTGCAAGACACAGTACCATAAAATCTATCTACTTACCGAAAATGAAAAGGTCTGCTGGTTTACGAGAACTCCCCAATCCGATTAAACGAAAACCGAAAGCCAGTAACACATTCACGTACACACAAGAACAGACCCTATAGCTTGGGCACACCACGCCTGAATGTTGATCCACACACCGTCCCGGACACAGTCCATGGGGTCCTTTCCGTTGTGTGAACAGGACAAGGATTGCCTCGTCTAAATTTAGACACCGAAAATAAAAGGGAAACCCCTCCCACGTGATTTTATTACGCCAATTATTGTTTGATGAGAAATGCTCGCCGCAGCTCGTTCAGAGAGGAAGGAGTGACTGTACTTTGTTGAAGTGGTTGGAAGTGGGTAGGATCATTGTGTTGAATTAATAATAAAAAAAGAGGGGTGGAAGGGGAGTGTGTGTGTGTGTGTGTGTGTGTGTGTGTGTGTGTGTGTGTGTGTGTGTGTGTTTGTGAGTGTGTTTATGTGTTTGTGTATGTGTTTCTGTGTGAAAGTGTGCGTGTTTGTTGGGTAAGGGGGAGGTACCTGGAGAGGAGATTTTGGTGGGTTGGATGGTTATAATTTCGACCACTTTACAAGCCGAGCTTCACATAATGTGTTACCGAAATTATATATGCCTAGATTACTTCTACCCAGATGTCGAGTGAGGCTGGTAATTGCCCTTTTTTGTACACCTATCCCCTTCTGTATCTGTTTGACATTCTGATGACCTGATCTGCTACTGGCAAAAGGTCGTGCGTGTTATCTGCCCACCGTCGCCGCACACCACAATCCAACAACAACCATTTGAATTGCGGTTAGTCATGAGCGTGCTTTACCTTCTTTGGATACTTGTTATCTTTAGAGGTCAAGTGTGCCTGCACACTACTCTGCATCGTTCTTTTCTAATCATCTCGCAGAATTGCATGCGAAAATTCTTAATACAGGGTACATGCTGTAGTGGCGGTGGGTAGTGAAGGGCTCACGGGCTTGAGCCCCCCTCCCCCCTCCCTAAGCTACTCTATCCCAAAGTAAATGACATTTCTTAAAAGACGAATTAAGCTGTTGAAACCGCTATGGTCGCACGCAATGAACACAGAGTAATCAACTTGGCGGCTTGCTCGTTTATCCAATCACTGTTGGCACGGCTTACAAAACTATAGTAACCTAGCAGTCAATTAAATGTCTTTAAGGCTCAGCACAAGGTGAGCCCATCCCTGTAAAACGATCACTGGTTCTACACACATTACGTCACGAAGAGATGCTTCTTGCCTCCTTCATCCTCTAGCAAGAATTTTCACAGTCCACTAAAATTAATCACCGGCCGGTGTCTAACCACAACCTTCTCACCACAAGGTACACAGTACTCACTGCCGCAATCCCGCTTCTCGCAAAAGTGAGTTCTCGCTCAAATTTTCTTACATACCACAAAAAATGTCAACATAATACGCACATTGCCAAATTGTCTAAAAACAACCGACAAGTACAATCCCCACGGCCCTTCCGTAATGAAGCTCTTCTAGTAAAAAGGTAGAAGACTGGAAAAACAGAACACTGTACCGAGGGCTCACGCTCTCCTAGTCCTTACAATGGTGTGTCACAGATACCTACGCGCCTATTGGACCTTTGTTAGGTGCGTTCTTCCTTCATTCGGCGACTACACGGCCAACTGACCCAGCTCATTCATAAACGACTAAATATGTTTGAAATGCTGTGTGTGCACGTTTGTGTTAGTGCCGCTGAGGTTTAACAGTTATAAATCACATCGAACCACTTTTGAGGCAACCTTTTCATCCAGAAGAATCTATCTTAGAACAAAGAGACGGAATACAATGGTAACTTATTCTCATTTGAATGATTTCTCAAAATACCGTGGGCTCACCGTGAGTATAGAAAAATCAGTACTATTTAGGGTGCCCAAATTTTGGTCCACCGACCGCCACTGGGTACATGAGGTACCCACGAGGTACTCCTCTCGCGGTGGTCATTTAATTAACGCCCCTATCGATTCCAATTTAGACCAGTGCTTGCCAACCTTGGATGTATCACTCAGTATTATTATTGTCTTCAGACCTTCGTACCACAAGCAGCTACTTTACTGCCGTAAACTGACAAAATGAATTTTAAAAGAATTCATAGTAGTTTTGAGAAAAATAGTATTCTTGTCAGCATAACCATTTAAAAATAGAGTTCTCCCGAAATTTGAATTTAAATTCATTAAAAAAACTAGTCAAAGTTTTACTTTGATTTGTTTTTTTCCACACAGGTAAGGTAACTGATGGACCCTTCAATTTAGCAAATACAAAAAATTGGCACCCCAAAATGAGAAAAAAAAGGCGTTTTGTCAGGTAAAGGCAGTTTAAGCAAGTCTTTGTAAAGCCTTCAGTCACCCAGTACCCTGTAAAAGAAGAATTCGCACCCTGTCGCTTGGTACGCGTCCAAACATTCCACTCCAGTTAAGCTTACTGTGTTCAAATAAATAGAACCTATTAGCTCTGCGCCCGTGGAAGGTGGCTGGGCAGTGTGTCCTCATAATCTCTTCAGGTATCTGGCCTATTAAACCACATGCGGTCTCTGACTCAGAAGTCGGAGTAAAAACGTCGTATTTGAATGTGGGCAGGCTCTTTTTCCCCTGTCTCTTGTTGTAAGCACTCAGTTGTTCTCTATACTGAAAATCTATAATAAGTAGACTGAAGATCGCTTAATGGAAGAAGTGTTAGTATGAATTATTCACAGTCCGGGGGTGTGCTCATCAGGCCTTATGGATAATGGTTATCCTGTGTCCAGCGGTATATATAATAATAAAGTGTAAAGCTCAATATAGAGCTTGCTTTCGAGCGGGGATATGCGCTATACAAATTTTATTTATATTATCATTATTATTATTATTAATTTTATTATCATTATCATAATTAG